CCGTGCTCGCGTCCATTGCCCTCGGAGTCATTGGCAATGACTGTTCGTGCTGACAGCTCCCCGCTAGCTATGTTGGAACCTTGCATGAGATCAACCCTGAAGCTTCCACAATAGCTCTGGAGAATGTCGTCTCTTTTGGAACTGAGGGCCGTCGAGGCAACCCAGCTGAGGAGATCGCCCCGTCTGCCAGTGTTTATGAATACATTGTCTTCCGGGGCAGCGACGTAAAAGACATTAGCGTAGCGGAGGACAAGAAGGAAAATGCACCATCTGAGCCTCCTCAGGTCCCTGATGATCCTGCCATTCTGGGGGTAAGTTTGCTCAACACACTCTCCACTCTCCCCGCCCCCGCCCCTCATCACCTCTGGTGTTGGTGTCCACTGGACACTCGATCTTATGATGAAATATTTCGGATGTAAACACAGACCTGTTCTGAATGCGCAAAACCGTGTGGATTTTTCCGTTGCCTTCCTTCTGACAAGATCAAAACACCTTATCCTTGGCCTTTGCACAAGAAAACACTTCTCTGTGATGCAAGATGCTAACGTGTCAATTGGTGTAGAGCATGTCTCGTCCTGGTCCAGGTCCTCAAGGCATTTCTCCTCACTCCCAAGCACAGCAACCTCCTCGTCCAGCTCCTGGCTATCCCCAGCAACCTCAGTTCCAGGGCTTCTACCCTCCCTATGGGCAGCGCTTTGGGGCTCCTGGTTTCCCTCCTGGGCCCGGATTCCCTAATATGCCGTACGGAGCTCCTCCCCCAGGATGGTACCCTCCCCCGGGTCAAGGATTCCCTCAAGGACCAGGCCAGTTTCCCCCTCATCAGATGCCTATTGGACCCCCTGGTCAACACCAGACCCCTCCGCCACAGCGTCAGGGGGCGCCTGGTGCGGGCCCTGTAAACGTTCCTAAAGCCACCTCCGAGCTTCCCGTTGGTGAACGGCCCTCCAGTAAGCCCGCCAGCCGGAATGCCACGCCTGCACCTGCTGCTGGTCAGAACCCTCCTCCACCCCCTGTTGAATCGAAACCTTCCGTAACGGAAGCCGTACAAGCCTCCAGTATTTCCGCGGCGGCGGCGGCGGCGCTTCCGGTTGCATCCAAGATACCACCCACCGGACCCAGGAGCGGACGTGTGCAGCCGGCCATCCCGATTGCTACGCATTCTAAGCCGCCAGTCCCAGCTGTAGGCCCTTACCCCGGTGCTGGTGTGGGAAACAATGTGTCGCAAGGTACTGCTGCTCAGGCGGCCATTACTGAAGCCACTCGTGCTGCCACTGCTGCTGTTGCGGCTGCCATGGCTAAGTTGCCCCAGCCCAGTGCACAGAAGGCCCCGGGTCATGGCGATGCGTCTGTGGACGGTGTGGCAAAGCAGCTCGCTGAGATGAAGCCTTACGAAGGAAACCGGGCTCCTCGCGGCGGTCACCCGCACCCACGGGGTGGACGTGGTGGTCACCGTGCTCCTTATCAGGGCCAGGCGAAGAAGGTTGAGGTTCCTGACACCGACTACGACTTCGAGACCGCGAATGCCAAGTTCAACAAGCAGGACCTGGTGAAGGAGGCTATCGCCACTGGCTCACCGGTGCATGAAGCCGAGGCTGCTTTCCCTGAAGGCGAGGACGAATATACTGATAAGCCTAGTGCGGATAACGTCAATTCGTACAACCGGGCTACCTCCTTCTTTGACAACATCTCGAGTGAGGCTCGTGACCGGGAAGAGGGTACTGGTGCTCGTGCCGGTGGTCGTGAGTGGCGCGGTGAGGAGGAGAAGCGCAATATCGAGACCTTTGGCCAGGGCAGCGTCGATGGATATCGGGGCAGCTATCGGGGCCGTGGCAGAGGAAGAGGCTATGGCCGTGGCCGCGGAGGTTATGGTCGTGGATACAACTCTCGTGGCCGTGGCGGTCTCCGTGGTGGTCGCAATGCTCCTCAGTCCACCGGTGTGCCTACGCAGATTTAAATCGTCCTTGGTTTTGTCTTTTCATGACTGTCAAGCAGCAGTTCATTGTATCATGCGCTTAGCGATTATTGTTGCTATTCTTTTCTCTGAGGAGTGGTTTATGTCCGTCCACGACTACTTTTATTGTTTCTCCTGATATCCCTGGCGTCTGATGGAGCATCCCGTGAATACATACATGGTCTTGACGTGCAGAAGGTCATGGCTTTCGATTGTGATTGGGATCCTTATGGGTTATGTTGGATTTGGTGAAATATGTGCTGGGATGGCTACTGTTACATCTGGGGTCAAATTTGGCGTTCTTCATACTCATGCATGAGCAGGTCTCGAACTCTCATTGCAGCGATCTTCTGGACGGGGGAAGTCTGTTACTATTGTGTTTGATATCGTCACCTCACATGGACCAATGTCTGAGGTTCTGGATATGTCGCTTGGCTGCTCCAGTCTCTCTGTTGTGGAATACGTCGGACAATGATTGAGCGTGGACCATCTTTGTATCATACTATGAGACATTATCCTTGATGATGAGATCAAAAGACCGAAAAAAGAGGAGGCCTTCTGGCCTACAAAGCAGTTTCCTTGAGTAGTCTCGTGACGAGTACCATTACTTGGCTTGTAGATGCGCGGATACTCCGGCCAACTTCCCCTCACCGGCCTTCCATGCTCCTTGACATTATCGGTAAAGATTCACTTTCACCCCCCCCCCACCATGCGTCATTATTGGTATTACCAAAGCTTCACAGCGGGGACGGTCGATTCCCATTCGTGTTCCTCCGCCTGAAGATTGTGTTCTTTCGGCAATGCCCCCCTCACGAGCCGTCCATATGCCTCGGCCAAGAACGCTCGTCATACCCGAAAGAAGCAGTGATGTGGAGCAGCCCTGAGAAGCACTCATAAATGAGGGAGAGTTCCAGTCCAGTTGGAGGGTATGATGGGGCTTTAAGTCTTGCCGGTTCCACAAACTCAATCCACCGCGAGCCACGGTCAGTCAATTCCAGCAAGCGGGGAAAGCTATATAAACTGTAACACAACACTACCCGCCATGAGGTATATCAATGAACGACTGAAGAAGGTTTCGGAGATCGTTTCGCCAACAACCTCTGCCGCGGGTGATCGTACTACCAACATGACTACTACTTCTGAACGTGTTCAAGTTCCGGATCAGCTTCCTTGGGATCCGAATTGCACGCGGTTCCCCACGCGCAAGGAACTGCCTAAGATTCCCGGGGCTCCGAAGGATGCGGCATGGGTTTGGGGGGAGGATGATCAGGTACTGTACTGTTGCTTTCTCGTCTTTCGGGAGAATGCACCTCGAATTCCTCGCTAACCTTGTCTACTTTGTAGCTCGGACGGTTGAATTTGCTGACGCCGGCTCGAGTCAAAGCTGCTGCTGCGGAGATCAAGCTGGGGGAGATGATTCGACTTGAGTGAGTTTAAGCGAATAGTGTATAGCAGAGAAGGTGCAGTGACCTGGCGCTGTATTGCAGAAAAGCTGATGCAGCAGCAGCCTCCCATTGCATATCCCTGAAACCCCGGCCTTCGACCGCGAGCCCTTCCAGCATCATATCAAGGAGCTCGTTGAGGACGTGGTCTACGACGATACCTACACCCTGAATACGCAGAGTGGCACCCAGTGGGATGGATTTCGCCATGTACGCTGCTCTCTCTCACAGGGCTTCTCCATAACGCTAGAGGCTTGAAATCTAACGATCCTGTCATATATGCTAACCTGTTGATCGATCCCGATGACTATAGTTCGCCCACCTGGACACCAAACTCTTCTATAACGGGGTACGTACTGTACAGTTCCAAACCAGACACACACACATCCAACTAACCAATCCCTCAAAGGCCAAATCCACCGACTTCAAACCTCCCTCCACGACCACGACCACGAACACGACCTCCCCCTCCCCACAAAAATGCAGCATCCACCACCTCTCCACGCACGGCCTCGCAACCCGCGCCATCATCCTCGACTACCGAAACTACCACCTCACCACGCACCCCGAAAACCCCTACGACCCCTACACCTCCTACCCCATCTCCCTATCCGCCTTACACGCCTGCGCCCGCTCCCAGGGCATCAACCCACTCCCCTCATCCCAAGGCGGCGACATCCAACCGGGCGACCTCCTCCTCATCCGCTCGGGCTTCGTCGAGCAATACCACACCCTGACCCCCGCCCAACGCACCGCCGCCGCGCGCCGCTCCCACGCGGACCTCCGCTGGGCCGGGCTCGCGCAGGACGAGGACGTGCTGACCTGGTTGCATGACTGCTACTTCGCGGCGGTCGCGGGGGATTCGCCGACGTTCGAGTGCTGGCCGCCCACCCGTGATGGCGGGCAAGGTTTCATGCATCAGGAGCTGCTCGCGTGCTGGGGGATGATGATCGGGGAGATGTGGGATTTGGAACGGTTGGCGAGACGGTGTCGGGACTTGGGCCGGTGGACCGTTTTTGTGACGAGTGCGCCGGCTATGGTTTTTGGTGAGTTCCTCTTTTTTTTTTTGCTTGAGTTTTGGTTGGTTGGAAGGGGGGGGCCCGGAGGGTGATTCTTCTGGGGGATGTGGGTGGTAGGAGTCCACGGTGGGAGATCTTGGCTAACGATATCATGTGTATGTGTAGGAGGTGTTGGATCGCATGCTAATGCTACGGCGATCTTGTGATATTGGGGGTCTGTCCTTGGAATCAGGCTAGGGACAGTTAACGAGGTACATGCTTAGCAGATTAGCTATGCGCTGAGGGATGGTATTATCTCCTCACCGGGCAATTGACAGAGGGGAAACTCAAGCATTCTTTCATTGGCAGCAGTCATCACGTCGTTACGTTCATTAAAGTAGTACTAGTAAAAATCTGGACATAGGAAAAGCGGATATCCTGCCCTTATCTCCATCGCCAGACAAGACGAAAGCAAGGGTCTTTTCATGTACTTGTACTGGTGCATGGCAATGACCAGCAGATAATACACCAAGACAAAACATGCAAAACATCAAGCAACGGGGTATCAACTCCATCGCAACAACGTCACGGTCAAAGCTAACAAGCGCCTCAGAAAAAATCCTCCGGCCATTGGAAGCTGTGCGCACCGCCCGAGCCTGACCGCTTGCCCGCTCCCACAGTCTCAAGCTTCTGTCCCAACGGCGACTGGGGCTGGGGCTGAGGCTGGGGTTGGGGCTGTGCCTGCGCCTTTTCGCGATCCCGCGCCTCCCGCTTCTTGCCCATCTCCTTCGCTAGCCGTCGGTCTACCTTCGCCGCTGTGGCAGACAGGTTCTTCGGGAGCGGTGGCACAGGCGGGATGTACTCGTAGCGAGCCGACTTCTTCTTGCTCGGAGACGAACTGAGACTGGGGCTGGTCATTACCTCCCCGGATGCCAGAGTTGTCGTTATGGACATCTCCTTGAACTGATCTGCCTTCACCAGCGCGACGCTGCTGCTGTACAGCTGCAGCTGCGCCTGCTGATTTTCCTTGTCGTGGTCATCCGCCTCACCCGGATTAGGCAGCATTAAGCTCTCGCCCGCATTGGCTGATCGCAGATCTGGGCGGCCCTTTTTCATCCGCAGGCTAGGCTGAGGCTGGGGGGCACGGTTCCTGGAATTTGAGGCGCGTCTACGTGCCGCCACTGCTGAAGGCGAGCGAGGGTTGCTGGGTGATGATCGGAGGGGGGTGGAGCGTCTGCGGCCGCGTTCTTCGCTGGGGGTATTCGGGGAACGACCGGAGGCAGAATGCTTTCGCTCGACGGAGCCGGGGCTGTCGCCGGGGCCCATCTTCGGCAGTTTAGGCTTACGAGGAGTGGATGTACTGGCTGTTCCGTAACAGTGGCGGCTGTCTGTATGTTGCGTTGATTCAGGCTGGATCTTTTTTAGAGATGCAGGGTCGGGCGACTTGCGTTTGAGTGTGGGACTGTCTGCGGTCAAAGACGATTGGGGCTGGGGATCCTTAGGTGTTCGTGGTGTCATACCATCCTGTTGCTGCTGCGTACCGGTTATAAGCTTGCTTGGCGTGATTTTCTGCTGCGATTTGCCAGCCTCATTCTGGTAAATGTTCTCCGCCAGGGAGAGTAAAGGTGTCGACACGGCTCGAGGGGAAGTCGGTTGGCTATTACTGTGCAACAACCGCTCCGATGGAAGCGAGGGAAGTGCACCGGGGACAAATTTGCGAGAGTATGGTTTGTCGAGAAGGGGAGTCGGTGCCTGCACTTCTTCTTCCTCGCCGCCAACCAAGTCGTGCAGTTCCCGACGCGCCCGTTGTAACTTGAGCTCCAGGTCGCTCACGCGCTTCATCAGCTTGGCCTGTCGCTGAAGCTCTTTACGCGATTTCTGTCGTCGCACTTCCGCGCCCTCCGGCTGTTCCTCGGATGAAAGCTTGTTCGAGTCCAAGCGCTTAATGTATGGAATGCCCAAGGATGACTTGGCCTTGCGCAGCTCCTGGAACGAGGATCGAATAGACCCTCCAGACTCGTTCCCTTCTCCCGAGTTCTGTCTCGAATGATGCGCCATGGGCCGGTAAGTCGCTGGCTCTGGGATGGGGTTCCAGGACTTGGGAGGAACTCCAGACTCCCCATCCAAGCTCCGTATATAGCTGCCCTTGACTGTACCCTTGTATCCGGAGCGCTTAAGCTCCGCGTAGGCCCGCTCTGCCTGAGCAAGCGGATCGTCCGACTGTTTGTTGGCCTCAGCATTGTTTTTCCACCCCCAAGCGCCGAAGGGATTGAAGGCGGAGGCAATCGCCTTTCCAAACCGGAATATACCCGAGCCCCGTTGCTGGCCCGTACCATTTCCCGCGTGGCGTGCATCATCGCGCAGGAAGATACTTGGTGGCTTCTCGCTCACGCTATCGCTCATTGTTCCCTCGACGAACCGCGATCGTCGGCCCCGACCGGACGCACCAGTCTGGCGACCGAACCGGCCGGATCCCATTGAGGTCCGTGGAGAGATCTTACCCACTGCAGTCTGGAACGGCTTCCGGTGCCCGCCCGTCTTGTTGCTGCTACCCGCAGCCCTTTGAACAGGATGTTGTTGATCATCATTATCTTGTGGTATCAAAGGTTCCCCGCCGTTCTCCAACTGTAAAGGCCACTCATTCGACCGCCGTCGCTTTGCCGAATGAACGGACGGGGATCTACTCTGCGCGCGGGAGGGATAGTTCGACTCTTCGGCATCGTCAAATCGACCGGAATCGTCCGACTCGGATTCGGATTCATCGGCGGTAGAGTCACCAATGGTGCGCGCATGTTTGCGACGGGGGCTTTTATGTTGGTGGACCACGTGGGGGTCGGCGCACATGGACTGAAGCGATAGTTCGAGCTGACGATCGGTCTCGAGCGCGTCAACACCCTTCCCCTCCGTACGGTCATCGATCGAGGCCTGAACGTTGGACACGATGACAGTGTTAATTATGATCAAAGCTTCGTTCAAAACCAGTCCAATTCTGGATGTCTGTGAATGCGACGGCAGAGGTGACACACCCGCTGCGCAAGGGGAGGTGAAAGCGCGCCACGGGCAGGAGGACAAAAGCTTGAATGATGCAGGTGGAATAGAGATTATAAGACAGATTGGAAGCAAGAGAGCTGGCTGGAACGGAGAGTGGATACTTGAGGTACTTGGTACTGACCTCGACCGTGCAGTGTCCATGGGCGCGATCGGCCATCCTTACTGCGCTTGCGTGCTCACAATTCATCCATCCACTTTCGCACCGTCGGTCGGTCGGTCGGTCGGTTGGTCGCACACCTTCACACTTTACTCTATCGATCCAGAGTCAGATAGGCGCAGATCCAGTCGGTCTTATGTCTTCTTCCGTCAACAGAGATCCTGGAAGATATCATCTACCGGGCAAATAATGATAAAAACCTGGGGAAAACCACGCGGGGGAGAGGGGGGAGGGGGAGAGAAGTGGAGGAGCGAGAAAAGAAGCGGTCAGGCAGAGAAGGCAGCGGCGGCGGCAATGACGAGGACGAGGAGAGGGCAAAGTGGATTGTTTTTAGCAAGTAACCAACAACAATAACCACCTTAAGTTAACGTTGTTGTTGTTATTGTTGTTTACCTCGGGCGTTCCGGGTTTGTTTACATTTAAGGCAATCAGTCCCTCATGTGCCAAGCCCACCCACCCACACGCCTTCCCGTGTCTGGGATGACAATGCTTCATTTTCCATGGTCCGAGAGGAATGAATGTCTCAATGTCTCATCAATTGATTGAGTACTGCCAGAGTAGCCCTGTGCTCTGGAATGTAGGATAGTCCCACTGAGATAGATCCCCTCCTGTAGACCTATTGGCATACCACAACTTCCCTAACATCATAGATCACTAAGACATGTACTGTACGTACTTGGTATTCGAAATGGGCGCGGAATGGTGTCTACGCAGCTTTAAACATTACAACTCAAAGTTGAAATCTGATATCTGACGGCGTACTTCTGATGGCTATATTCATTTCTGGCCGGCCTTATGTAAAAAAACGAGATTCAACCCAGCCGATGGGTGACATCATCCCACTTGGCAATCAGAAATAAACAACAACGATAAACATAAGGGGAATATGTATGGTGTGAAATCCAAGGTGGATCATATACAGCAAAGACGATGTCGACGCGGAAAAAAAAAAAGGAAAGAAAAGAAAAAACGGTGGTATAGACGTCATGTCTGCTGCCATGACGAAGAATCGAAGTAAACTCCCTCCCACACCCTTCTCTTTTCGGACCAAATTGCCCTTCCAAAATCCTCGTTAAGTTAAAAAAAAATTATAAGTCATCCCGACGGGCCGGTTCGCCAAGACGCCTTCCTATATAAAGAATTATTCCCTAAATTTGTGGAGACAGAGAAAGCATGATGCTATAAACTCTGTCCATGATGAATCATAGCAGGGGAAATTTTTGTGACCATCCTGCCGTTGGCTCGCTTGTATGCCAATTCGTCCCGGGACAGGCTGTACGATGCCTCACGTCGGGCATCGGAAAGCCGTCGCTCCAATGGAGGAGTGGGCTCTCGATCGGGGCGCATGCCGTTGTGCAGTGGGCGCTCTGCATGGCCGAAGGATTCTTCGTGCGTTCGCTTGGAGAATGTCGGTCCAGAGTTGGTGTCCCACAATAGCCGTTTGTTCTGGGCTATTTCATGAACAGGGCTGGAAGCAGTGTTGTTCTGCGGCCGAGGCATATTGATGGGGATCTCGCCCGAGATCGCACTGATCGGCGGAAGAATGTTGCCGCTGCGTGAGGGGTGAGCTGGCGTGTGCTGAGCGACTACTGGATACATGGGAGGATCGGATGAACGTGATTCAGTGGGTGACGGCGCTGGATGTGATGGGTCCAACCGAATAGGTGGTAAGTAGATTCGGTGCGCATCTTTCTCATGCTCGGTGCTGGTTGATGGGTTTCTAGAATGCGAGTGCGTCGGATGAGGTGAGTAGGCAGTGACTGGCATTGACCCAGACGAAGGATTTCTTGGTATCTGAGGTGCGGAATACTGAGCTTGCGTCGATCCGAAGGAGAGGTGCGATTGATACGTAGAATTCTGCGTTGCAAATGCAGCCGGAGTAACGGGTGAGGGAGTGGATGCTGTAGTCGGAGCTGGGGCATGAGCAATAGGATGCTGGTAGAGTCGCGGGTTCTGGAAGCCATATTCTGCCGCAGACGGACGGCGTGAGGCCTCAGGGCCATAACCTTGATCAACGGTGCCAATGCTCGTCGACCGTGGCCGCTCGGCTGGAGTCGGATAAGTGTCGGGGGTAGAATAGCGATCACGCCGGCTGCTCATCATCCTATCCTCGTCATAATCATAGTCATCAGATCCCTTGTCTCCGCGACGTCTCATACGGACATCGCGCCGAATACGGACACGGCAGCCCTGCTCCGCAATGATCCGACTCAGATGTGTGCTTTGTGTCAGACCCGGGAACTTCTTCGCGCTGAAGACCGTGAATGGGACTGACACAACCTCGAGGCGAAATTCGAGGAACGACTTTGGTGTCATCGGCTTTGATGGGTTCGTCTTGAGCATTGGCGACGGGATCGGCGCTCCCTCGTCCACGTCCTTGCTTTCCTTGGTCTCCTCGTAAAGATGGAAGCTCAGTCGGTAAAGCCCTTCGTGACGCACCGATAAATCCGGAAAGATGAAAAATCCCGCCGGAAACGGGCGGTCAAGATATGCCACTCCTGCCACGGGCACGCCTGTGAGGACGGGGAATGTTGGAGTTGGAGCAAGTCTTCCCTGTGCCATTGGACGTGCGTTGTCTAATGTGGCGTAGAGGAAGAAGTTGGCGTTATAAGCGAAGGTGATGTCCGTACAAACGGAGGATCAACCGGACGACGGTCGGCAGAAGCTATCGGAGACAATTTTGTCAGTCTCTTCACAAGCAAACAATTCATATGAAGCGGACTCAGATACGTACATTTGGCGCCTGCACCGCATGCTCTTGCCCGCTCCGGTTGTTGCATCACAGTAAGCTTGTATGTAAGCTTCTTCCCCTCACGAGTGATCCGGCTGACGGAGTGCTCCGTCTCGTTTACCGGGGGCGATAGAGGAGGTCTGGAAGCCATGATGAAGCACTGATGCAGATCTGATAGCCTGAGAGAACGTTAGATGACTACTTGACGGACATATTCCCAGCGATCTCTGAGCATTGGCGAAAGAGAAGAAGAGAACGAATGGGTGGACAAAAACTCACTATGAGACAACCATAGATGAGATAACGCAACGGAACTATGACCAAATCGGAGACGGGCCTACGCGCAGCAACCTTCCGGGTCCTCAAGCTGTATGATTATGTCTTTGATGTAGAGGCTGCTAGTCGCAGATGAAAAAGTCACGAGCCGACCCTGCGGTTGAGTGAAACGGAAGAGTGTGGTAGGAGGGGTGGAGGCGAGACGGGGGCAAACGAGAGGAACTCGTTGTAGCGACCGAGCCAAGAAGGTTAAGAATTAGCAAATAAGCGTTGAAGCGGGCGTCGCAATGGACAAGAAGAAAAAGGATTAAGGAGAAAGAAAATCGAGCTGGGGGCAACTGCGAACTGGACTGGGAGAACAGATAACAGCCCAGAGCGATTGACCCGTGCGAGTTTTCAAGGAGGATAGGAGGGAGGGGGGACGTGAGTAGTAGAAAGAGGAGGAGGAGGAGGAGGAGGAGGAAGAGGAGGGTAGAGGATGTTCAGGATGGGGATGGAGGAGGAAGATGAAGAAAGAGTGTGACAAGACTAGACCCGACTAGATTTCCACAGAGAGAGGGGGGAAAGGCAGAGAGAGAGGCAGAGAGAGGAAGAGTCAGCTGTGTACTGTATGTATGTAATGAAGTAACAAAAACCAAGTAAGTAACTAAACTACATAGTACTAATTTGATTAAGGTAACTAAAAAACTAACTGGAACTAAGCAAGCCGAACTAAGGAGGGGAGAACAAGCTGAAATAATAATACGTGGACCTTAACCACAACTACCTAATCTAACTGACTTAAAAACAACTTCTACTATGCCAGTAAAGTATGATGAGCAGAATACTGAGTCCCTGTACTGGCTAATAATATTATTACCCTGCTTTCTGGATCGGGCGGCCCACCTCCGGCTCCTCGGTCTGATGCCCGCAATGAATGGCGGAAATCAATGATGGTATCGTATCATTCCTCATCATCCCAGAAACTCTAATCCTACCAGGGGGGGGAGGGGAGAGCTGCAGAAGAGGAGGTGAAAGTTGGTAGTCAGTAACAAAGATAACGACGATAACAAGAAACTAGCAATACCGAGCAGTGTCAAGCTTAGCAGCTAAGATTCAATAAAAAATTATTATCTCTATCTACCAAGCCATGAAAAGTAGGTATACCTCATAGTCTAGTCCTGTAAGTTAGCCGGTTGTTCGGGTTCACGGGCAAAAGTTGAAGAGAACCAAATCCGGCACTAGCTGGAGCCGGAGGGGTGGACACTGGGACAAGCTAGACTGATAGCTGATCCACCGTCAAAGGCAATGGGCCCGATGGCACTTCCACGGGTCTTCATCAATTATGACTGCGACCGGCCGATGAACTCGCGGAGGGGGCCAAAAGGACGAAAGGTGCTGAAAGGTTTAGAACCTTAATCATAAGGCAAACAAAATTGTTTGACAGAATCAATCTTGACAGCTAAAAAAAAAAAAAAAACCCCTTCCCCCTTTCAAGATAATGTCAGAGGAAGAATAATAATATTATTGATGTGGTAGTATGCATTGTAACTTAGTGGGGCTGACAGACCTGACTGACTCTGGGGCTTCCGGGGAGGAGAAACCTGGAGGGCTACGGCTGTGATGTCGTAGTTTAGAGTGCTTTAGGGCGCGACCGACAAGACGGAATAACCTCCGGGGCGGATATTGAATCTTCTTCTTGGTTCTTACCACGGTTGAACTTTAAAGCCCAACTAAAGTTGGTAAGCGTCGAAGCTATTGATCTCGCTAGCTAGGAACAGCTTAGTATCCTGACATTGTTCTCTAAGCGATGCGACCTCAATGGACAGGAATCGGTCAGTAGCGGAGATACTAAGCTGAAAGATTACTAGCAGAGGTCTCTGGGCTCTATGCTGGGATGTGTAATAGTAATACACATACTACGTACACTGAATGATGAAGGAAATAATGGCAGACAGTAAGTACTAGGTACTCTAGTAGGTACGAATATCAAGGCAATTGGACCATCATTCTCGCAAGTGGATTGTACTGGGTAAGGCGATTCTTCCTCGGCTAGGAGCTTGAGACAGCCAGTAAGACGCATGGATGGTCTCTCTCCCCCTGCCCCTTGACACGATGCTTGCGAACTCAAAGCAAGGTACCTGCTGTCGAAGGTATGGAGTTGCTGCTGTACTCATCCCGTTCAGCGCGGTACACTTCCTATCGCTTACGCTACTGGTAGACACTCTCTGCAGCTGAATCCTTGTGCTGACGGGAACATGATTGGAGATAGAATGTTTAAAGGATATGGCCCCTCCGGTGGGAAGCTGCTGAAGTTGCTAATGGTCCCGGTAGTCATTAAACCCTGAGGTGTGATCCTCAGGGATATACCGTACATCTCTGCAGTGGGGATGCTGTGGACACTTGACAATCGGCTGCGCGGTCACGGTATTCCAAACAACGAACCTCATCTGCGACAAGTACGTACCCGAGTGCTACCCATGTTCATCTTGACCACATGGAGGAGCTACAGAAGCCATGGGTCAAGAAGTTAGGATTTCCCAGTCCGGCGGATCGGTTGCTTCTCCCAGGTGTTCGGAGCGCAAGATACATGACAACAGGCCAGTGGGGGTGGTCAATGCGCCCTTTCCTGCCATCCTGCAGATGCAACCCCAGCGCCTTGCTTGGCTTAAGTGTTATCACTTGGTTAATCCAGCATACCTGGTATCTCAAACGATTCAGATTACTTTCCATTCAAGTCATTGAGAACTTCTTGTCACCTAGTTATCAATGCGATCCATAGATGCCGTTGTGGCCACCTTCGACCCGACCGAGGCTGGGAGGGCAGAGTAAGACTGCCGAACTTTACAAGATGGTACCGATACTTACATAGTATTTCAGCAGGTGGCACCACACAAGGGCATTTTGTCCCTTTGAGCTATCGTTGCAGCCTGCATACGCACTTTGCACTGTGAGCCAATCATTTATTGAATGGAGATAATTATAATTTTCAAAACTAGGATTTGAGGAGATCCATCATTAGGGTACCGATCGCAAACTACCGGAGAAGGATCTCATTGAATAGCATCTTGAGCAGGGGTTGCTGAACACTTGCAAAGCCAATCTATCGATGCATTCAATTATACATAGTATCCTCTCGTCCCTCTTTCATATTTTTGGAACTCTTTGCAATCACGACGAATCTTAATCATGGTGGCCCTGGCTTACTGTTGGTTTATTAGGCACTAGGAAATCACCGAATGGAACCATTATTACCGGCCGAACCTAGGAGAGAAAACCTTAATTGTGTGAGCGGAAAAGCAAATCTGGCACCGATCGAGGTACTGCTGATCACTACTTAACTAAGTAGGAGTCGGGATTTGAAAACCCATCAGCACCGCCTCCAGAATAAAATTGGATGGTCGGATCTGCAGCGGGCGGGTGGTCCTGAGGCAGCAAAAGCGTTTAGGCCCTCAGGCTGATGCGGCACATCTCTGGGGGTCGGGGAAAAAGTACGACCACTAAATCGGTAAAAAAGAAAAATGTGAGTGAATCAGTAAGGTACTGTACAGCCCGGCACAGGTCACACTACATGACTACTGGCATGCCTTACCAGTTACTGGCTTGGTACGGGTGGTCCCTGCGCCTGACTCTTCCGTCTCTGGTCAGTGCCAACCGGACATGATCCATAATCCCTGCTCCTTGATCCATGGTCTCTGATCCTTGATCCTTGATCCATGCCATGGTCCTTCAGGCAATTTACTGCGTACGCTCTTACAGTCTAGCCCTGCACAACGGAGCCAACCATCTCACGCCCCACTTTTCTCCTTCAGAGTTCGGGATGCAGGCATCGGCTCGAGGCTCCATCATCTTACTAATTACTGGGTAGTCCACAGAGAAGGACGCCCAAGAGTCGGACTCTCGTGCCACTCTCCGTACGGAGTACGTACCCAAATGAAGGCGGCGGTTGAGTGGAATAGTGGAAACGCTGGAAAAGTTTCAATCCGCCCCACTTGAACGGTCCGCACCGAATAGAGCGGCCCCATCTCAACTACTGGCACTGCTGCTCCGTCCCGGCCTTCGAGACACTCACATTTCCGAGCTAGCTACACACACTGAGTACTCAAGTACTTAGGTACTCTATGTGATCAATATCCCCAGAACAATTGTCAAATGGGTGCAGAGTCATTTCACATGGCAGTCTATCCAAAAGACCAGATCCTCTCGCTTGGAGGAAGTAAACGTACTTTGTAAGTTGCGTATATCACATCATCACAAACCAGCGTCTGTTTGGACCCACTCGGATTGCAGAATAACGGTGAATGATTCCTCGTGTGTCTGACCTCTTGATACTGCTCAGGCGCTTAGACACTCAGGCAAATGCCACGTCCGTCCGGAGCTGTCGTCTAGAAAGGGGCTTGCCCCGGACAATCGTGATGCCATCCTGTCAGTGCTCGAAGACGCGCCGTGAGGATCGACTTCAGGGGCCACCATCCCTTTGAAAACTTAGGAGAGCCCTGATAGAGCCAGAGACTAGTAGTTCATACTCCGTAGATCCCGAATAAAATGTAGCCTATGTGCTCAGTTACAGCTTCTGGGTGTCTTCTCGATCAGCTCTGAATCACGAATTCAGGTCTATCTCACTTTCCGAGGCATTCGATGGCGTTTTAACAACCAGGGAGGATCTCCGTACCGTAGCCGATCGTCACTTAGCATGCATGCGTTATATCTTTCACCGACGACCGTAGTAGGGGGTTACAGAAAGCAAACATCTTATGCAGTTGCTCAGCACCCTGTTTACCCCTTCTTTACCCGAATGAACTTTGATAGTCCTGTTTTAGGTTTATGACTCCAGCAATTTGCTTGGAACTATTCTGCGAGGGACGTCCAGTAACCAGAGTGTCGGGTCTTTTCAACATGGAATCCCCCGTCAACTTGCATGGGCGATGTGTATCCTAGTCGATATTCCAGCACTTGGGGAGGCAAGGTAGATTCTAACTAATAATCATGGAGTCATCAGGCGCACAAAGCGAATTGATCGTACGGAATCCTCCAATCACTTTTCATGATCGGGACGATCAGGATGTGACCACCCTAACATCGATTCGTCTCATGATGCTGTCACTAGAGATGGAGGCCGTGACTTACCAGCTGGCCATTTCCATGAACAGTCTCTCCCCAGATCGCCTACCCGATCCCATGATCTTACATCCTTCCCTCGCATGTTAATTCATCCTTTGCCCCTGTGTTTAAAGGATTTTCGAGTGGCCATAATTGGCCCAGAACTATAGGCAATCTCTCGAAAGCGAGTAAACCCGTACATCAGAGGGTCACGTATCCTTATCACCGATCAACCCCAGGCTTCTCTCCGGCGATTGGGTACTGCAAATAGAGTGCTGTCTGCACATCCGGTGGACTCGAGACGCAATTGGTCTGTGACAAATGTCTGATTTCCTCCAAAAGGCCTGAGTGACCTCCAGCCTGTGCGACCGCGAGGGCGCTGTGCTGCTGTGCTGCCACTGACGCGACCACCATTCGTTATAGAGGCCACCGTCTACAATTTACCTTCTGCGACACCGCAAGCTTCCTTTCAGCGGCCGCTCGTCACTGTTGCGGACATTGCGAATGCTACCAGACCCCAAAAGGGTGTAGGGGAGGGTTCCAGCCCAGTGGGGGGGGGGGGGTTCCCTATCGACTCGCCATACAGCATAAAACATGCACATCGGCAAAGCGGCATCGATACTGTAGAAAGCCGGTTTTTGCTCTCGTTTGCCCCTACTGAAAAATCTACCTAAGCATTGTCCGTTCAGAGTCTCAACTACTGCAGCTTATTCACACTCGATGCAAACCTGCGCAAATCTTCGTCAATTGAAGACAACATAAAGATGGCGAGCGGTAGCGCTCATACTGGTTTAGATCATGATGTACAAAAATAGCTGGCTGATCCTAATAAGCAACGCTGCGTACGGGGTCGATAGTCCAGATACTAGACAAGATACTCCGTACAGGACAGTTGAAATCCCCTAGCTTATCTTTCTTGGCCGGGGGGGGAGGGGGGGAGACAATCCTACTGTGTTTAACAGACAGTAGTCGGCTCCATCCAACCCACAATTGGATATGGGATTCCCCCTAGTCCGAGACCAAAAGCCATCATGCTGCTGTCAGATTATTGAGCACGAAACTACTTCGTAATAGTTAGGGCACTAGTCTCATTATGTTCTAGCCGACCGTTTTTTCGCCAGGGTAGCTTTTCCTTGAGAACTCGACAGATCCAGTTTCAAATGTGATGTATCCATCCGCGCTGCTGCTCGTATTTTTCTTCATGAGGGAAGACAAAGGAGATCGAGAAGGATCTGGCCTCGAATCTCAGCCGATCGCCGTGATTCGCTTCCTCTCCTTCTCTGTCTTTACAGCGCGGGGAGGGGATCCCTGTAAGATGCATGCATTATCGTGTCATAGCTTGTGTCTGTGCGCTTGTCATGCCTGGACGACCCTCTTTTCTTATGGGAAAGATTATCACCAACGTCATTGGTATCATTTTACCTGAGCTTCTTCCTTACCAAGACCTACTTGGAACTTCCTATTCCGCGACTAGGAGAGCTGAATGATGCAATCAATGTCTTTCAATCACCCCCATTTCATGGAACTATCCGATTTGTGCCAAGTGACTAAGGAGGTATGTACAGTAACAGTAAATGTCCTAATAGACCTGAATAAAGGCTAACGCACATGTCAGCTATCCCATTCCTAGTCTGCTAGACTGACTTACGATTGCGCACGGTTTACTGACAAGTCCGTGAGCTTCTACCCCGTAATTTGTGCATTCTCATCCCACCATCGCCCTTCGCCTCTATCGTTACATTCAGAGAGAATCAAAAGTAGGGCCAACGAAATGCGGTCTGGGGCAATGTTTCCATAAAAAGCTCCCGTGAAACACAACCGCGTCACGTCTGCCCCATATCTTTATCCCGGGCCAATATCCCCAGCCCAATATTCTCCGGGTTGGTCTTCCTTGCTTTAATCTTCAAAAAGAGGGAGCTTTGAACTTACCGGGAACACTTCCCGATCCCGAGAGGAGTTAAACGCTCCCTCGCACAAGTTGTCCGTGCGATAATCCACCTTCTACAACATGATGCGTTCGACTTGCAATACATGACTATCGACACTCATCCGTCTATCCTCGAAGATCCCTGCACCATCGAACGATAATCCTCGACCAGGGATATGGATGATGCATCTTGTCCAATTCAATCATGCTATCAAGAATGCCGCCGGGACTGGGTGACTGAATGGGCTTTGCGATGATCCTAGTTTCAGCCGTCCTGGACTGCTGTCCGTCCCGTACTGGGATACGAGGACAGCAAGCTATGCGTTCCAAGGTTGCACCAATCTGCTCGTCGGGGGATTTTTCTTTCCATGTTTCACGGCCAGCAAATCGTCTCCCACTGGGCGTCGATGCCGCAAGCCGTTGCTTTTCCGGAAGGCATGTGTACCGGGAGAATAGGATTATCGGGTCCATGTCTGCATAAAGTCGTCTTGAAAGAGGAGACTTAAAGAGGGCCAAGTACAAGCCCAGAGACACGGAGATCTTAGTCATGAGGCTCTTGGTAGAGGCTTTTTTTTTCCAGGGTAGGATACCACAGTCCGCTGAAACGGGTATATTGATCGTGAGCCTCACTTGAGGGGAAAGGCCGGTTTCCAAGTGGCAAACTAACCCCTTTCACTGTCAAAGAATCGGCAGGGCATACTTTCCTTTGTTCGGTGAGATATATACAATTTTTGAGAATCGCAAAAAACACCATTGAGGTCTGAGAATTGCTGGCAGAGCTTCCTGTACGACTATTGCGCCGAATGTTGGAAGCTCACCACGGATCCTCTAAAGATTTCCCACATAGCTTCAAATAGTGGGTTGAGAGCACAGCACAGTCATGGACCACCTCGGACTGTTCAATATAATGGTGGCCTCGACTTGATCAATTCGAAGTGTCAATTGCTGCTACACTGTGCCCATTCCTGTTCAGAGGCTGGACAGGAAATAGAAACGAGGAGTAGAGAATGATCATGACGACATATAGCAAGTCTAGAGTACCGAGCGAGAATATTAGAAATCGATCTAGTTGATGAGGTCGCGCTTCATAATCAACGTCATTGATCTAGATGTGATGATCCCAATTGGGAAGACCAATTAGTGATGGCGCAGCACGTGCGGCCGCGCCTTCTCCGCGTCGCCGCCGCGGAACCACGGCGATCGACGAGTTGATGGCGGGCAGCCTCGACTTCTGCTTCATTCGAGTTTCTCACGCTTATGGATCTTTTGTCAGTCCTCCCGGACTTCCCAACCAAACGGTACTCCCATATTCTCCCTCCTCTGGAGCGGAATCATATCACCACCGTCGATCTGATCACCCTCGACACCCTCGAGATCGCCAAACGCGCCCACGTCCCCGCAGCTGACGTCCGCCGATTGTCCACTCAGATCATCCGAGCGCTTCATCACGATGTCGGATTCGAAGAGATCAGAGGCCCCGACACGGAAGAGCCAGCCTCCAGCCTCAGTGAGGATCTCCCTGTCGCTCCAGGCCCAGCCAGCACGCTAGATTTGTCGCAATGGAGTGCGATCAGCACGCTCGACCTCACGTTAGACGCACTGCTCGATGGAGGGATACCGACACGCTACGTGACCGAAGTGACGGGTGAGAGGTGCGTGTGTTGGCTTGTCCCACTACTCCATATGCGCATTCAAGAGGCATGAACGGACTAACGTGGATTGTAGTGGAAGTGGCAAGACGCAGTTCCTCCTCACTCTCCTTCTGGCCGTCCAGCTGCCTGCGCCTCGGGGCCTGGCGAAGAATGCGATCTACATCTCGACCGAAGCTCCGCTATCGACACCGCGACTTTCTCAGCTCATGGCATGCCACCCCTACCTCTCGGAGATTAGCAAAGACCAAGCCCCCTCCCTCGAAAGGGTCCTTTCCATCAACGCGATGGACCTTGAGAGCCAAGATCACATCCTCAACTACCAGCTCCCCGTCGCGATCAAGCGCTACAACGTTGGACTGGTGGTCATCGACTCCATCACCTCCAACTACAGAGCGGAGCACTCCTCCCACAACCTATCAGGTCTCTCCACCCGGTCCGGCGAACTCGCCAAATTGGGCCAATTGCTGCGCAACCTCGCCGTCGCCGAAGACATAGCCATTGTCGTTGCCAATCAAGTCTCGGATCGCATCGACAGTGACAGACCATCGAACCTCTTTCGTCCTGGTAGTGCCACCACATACTCATCTGCACCCTCTACTCAACAGCCGCAGCAACAACGAATACCACGAGCCGAATCCGGTGCAGGTGGTGGAGCATTATCACCCTTTCCCCACGATTCCCGAGCTGCCGAAACCAGCAACGTAGACCTCACTCCCATGAATCACCACCACGGCAACGTTATGCTCGCACCGTCTTCTCAGCCTCCATTCTCCTCCTCACCATTCCCACTCGCAGACGACGATCCTCAGCAGCAACAGCAGCAGCAGCAACAGTTCGACGGCTCGTACCTCATCGGGAACCCTGTCCGCAACGAGATCCTGAGTCTCGTGCACCAGCAACGCTTCTTCACAGGATGGGGCGACACCCCCCAGTCTCTGTTTCCGAGCTATGGCCCGGGGCTGTGGAGGTCGACCTCCAAGACTCCAACGCTGGGGCTGGTGTGGTCGACGCAAATCGCATGTCGAATCGCCTTGAAGAAAGAGACTCGCTCGTTCGGAGTCTTTGATTTTGAGGGCGCCTACGATGATGAGGAGTTTTCTCATCGCGATGCCTCGCAGGCAATCAAAGCCCCTGATCAAATTATTGGACCCACCAACGTAAAGGGTGAGCACGAGGGAGCTTTGTTGGATATCACCACCACTACCATCACCACAACCTCAGCAGCAGCAGCAACAACAACAAGCACAAGCCAGGAAAAAGAACAGAAGGCAGAAATCGCCAATTCCGAATCTGAACCCGAAGAACTCGAGCCATCAGATGATGCAGCAGTGAAGTTCAGCGGTGCTGCTACTGCTACTGCTGCTGCTGCTGCTGCTGCTACTGATGAGCAATCAGCAACCACAATCCCCAATCCTACTCCATCCTCCTCTCCCCGAAGAACCAACCCCCCACCCGACACGCAGCAATCAGAGTCCCCATCACCCGCTCCAACAAGCCCTCAAGCCCCAACTGCACCATCCCCAGCCACCGCGAATCCTTCAACAACCCACCACCACCACCACCACCACCTCCTCCTCCCCTCAACGCAACGCACAATCCCGCAAACCATCCGCCGAACCTTCAAGGTAGTTTTCGCTCCATGGACCGGAGGTCGAAAAGAGGCAGGAGAAGGAGGAGGCAGCACCCACAACCCGACCGAAGACCAATCACCCCCGCAGCTCCACCAACCATCCAGCCAAGAGGAAGTCGAGTTCGAGATCTGGAAGGGGGGTATCCGGGGATGTTCTTCATAACAAGCTCAACATCGGACCCAGGCGGCAGCATCACAGTATATAGATAATCACATATTCAGAGACTACAGAAGCATGATCCAATGCGCTACACCCTACGTATTGAGTATCCACATACTCTCTGATTTGTCCCCTCATAGAAACAAACACAACTATGGAACAAAACAATAAACCCCAATCCCAAGAAGCAGACCCAGACTTCTTAAATCCTAGGTAGTGGGCTGTACTGTATATACACGCTCACTTATACACCTTCCGTGCTCACGCCTCGTGCCTCATGCCCACGCTTATTTCGGACTAGCGCCGCACCCCTCTCCAAAGTATCCGGCACGGGCGGAAGCCCGCGGACGGGAGAACGTTTATTTTCATTTTTATTTTTAAAGGAATAAAGGATCTCGCCCCAATAAGACCCTTATACCTGCTCCTCCCCCCCCCTCCTCCCTTCATCCACCCCTCAGATCCCTTTCTCGCGGAACCCCGCGACCCAGACTTTGGTCTACCATTCTTTTGCCCCGCTGAGGACTTTGGATCGGAAATCTGCAAGGCTGTGCCGGTCTAGAATGCCCGGCCATGCCATCCATGTCATGTCGATAAACTTGATCAGGTCTCCACTCTACTACTTCACCTACTGAGTAACGGAGATTCTGCTCGGAAAATGCTGGTTTGATCATTTCCATGTCATATGCAACAACGGACACCATTGTGCCACCTGGAGCTCGGAGCTGTTCATGACGGAAGCGTTGACAGGGCGGATGGATATGCTAAACGTTGAACGATGCAGACATTATTCTATTGAGCTCAGAAGTCATACACGAGATGATGAGTGATGAGGACATCTGGAAGGTAACAAAAAGTAGGAAAATGGCTCCCAAGATAGTGATAAACGGCCAGTTGAGAAAGAATGGGTGTTTTGCTTTTGTGTTTTCTTTACAACAATCCAACAATCACAATTGACCCGACCCCGCTTGCTCCCACTTCCACTCCATATACGCCTTCAGCGCTCGAATGCCGCTCGATCAACTCGCAGCAGATGCTCTTATGACGAGTGCTGATCATGTCGTGGCTAATTCGATCCTGCGAGAGCACCACGGAAAAAAAATTTGAACAAGACAGAAATGACACAACCCCCTTGATCAGGAGAGTCGAGGAAAAAAATCGACGCGCGTTCTATGTATCGACCGAGAACAGATCTATTGGGCAACCTTGGCAGGGGGGATACCAATACCGTTGATGTTACGGTAGAACATGACACCGGCACTCTCGCCCTCAGCGCCCTCGGTGGGCTCAACCCACTGGCAGATACGGGAGCTGGTCCAGAGGGCCTTGAAGAAACCAGTCCATCCGGTGTGGGCCTCGGTACGGTAGTGGTTGCCCATGACCTTCTGAATGGCCTCGCTAGCCTCATCGGCGTTGTAGAAGGGGATCGTGCTGACATAGTGGTGGAGAACGTGGGTCTCGATGATGCCGTGGAAGATGTGACGGCCAACGAAGCCGAAGTCACGGTCGATGGTGGCGCCAGCACCACGGACGAAGTTCCAGACATCAGGGTGGTAGTGGGGGAGAGTGGGATCAGTGTGCTGGAGGTAGGTGATGGCAACTAGCGGTTGAAGTTAGCGGTCATCTAACCAAGAAAACAAGGGAAGCGAAAACTTACCGAGCCAGTGGTTCACCCAGAGGTAGGGAATGCCGTACCAAACCAGAAGGTTCATCCAGCCAAACTTGGAGCCAACAAGGTACAGAACGGTTCCGGTGATGGCAAGACCGAGGTCACTCAGGAAAATGAGCTTGGCGTCCTTGGCCTCGTACAGAGGGCTGGAGGGGTTGAAGTGGTTGACACCACCGAAGTAGCCGTTCTTCTTGCCCTTGCCGCGACCCTCGGGCTGGCGCTCGTGGTTGTTGTGGCCGGTGACGTTGGTGAGGAGGTACATAGGCCATCCGAACAGCTGCTGGAGAACCAGGTTGAGAGCAGTCAGGATGGGGGTCTCCTCCATCAGCTCATTCAGTTCGTGGACGGCCCGGCCGACGCGAGTAGCAAACTCCGAGCGGGTCTTGGGGACGAAGACCATGTCACGGGCAAGGTTGCCAGTAGCCTTGTGGTGCTTTCCGTGGGAGATCTTCCAGGAGAAGTAGGGCACCAGGAGAGCAGAGTGCAAGACCCAACCAACGGTGTCGTTCAGAACCTTAGACGGGGAGAAAGCCTGGTGTCCACACTCGTGAGCCAGGACCCAGACACCGGTTCCGAGCAGACCCTGCACGACGGTGTAGAAGGCCCACAATGCGGTACGGATGGGCGTGGAGGGGATGTTCTCCGGGGTCACATAGTTGTGGAAGACATAGAAGACGGTGGCCAGGCAGAACAAGTCGCGGGCGACATAGGACAGACTGGTCAAGGCCTTGCGCTCATAGCAGTGGGCGGGGATGGCATCACGGAGCTGCTTGATGGTGAAATCAGGGATCTTGAATTCATTGCCATAGGTGTCCAGCATCTTGCTGCGAGCCTCCGCCTCGGAGGCCAGCGAGGACAGGGAGGTGGTCGAAGGAGACTGGCGAGGGCTGTCCATCGGGGAAGGGGCGATGGAGCTGGCCACCGAGGAGTCGGTGGTGGGGTTGCGGTGCAGCGCAACGCGCTTGGGGAGAGCCGTGGAGGACATTTTGACTTTGCTGTCCGGTGGTGAATCTGCAAGCTCTATACGAGGGGAAGACTAAGACATCAACAGAAGGTTAGCAAACCCAGCGATCCGATGCGTGGTGACCTTTGTGACCTTATAACATTCCCGAGAACAGGCCACCAGGGAATTCAAATCTCTCACTCACCAATTGATCAAAGCAGTGCTCGGAGGATATGAGAGCCGAGATGCAATGGACGGAAGGGGTTCCCACACAATGAAAGGCGACCAGGTCGGGGAATTGACAACAACGCAGGGGACAGTGAGAGGAGCCTGACTGACCACCTCAGGAAAGCCTTTTGTCGACTTTGAGGGAGGGGGGATGGGATGAGGAGAAGAGGAGCGTGAGAAGGGAAAGAAGAACGAAGGTGAGAAAGAGGAAGAAGAATAAGGCGTGATAATAAGGTGTTCGACACAGAACCCGGGGGATGGAGGAGGGGAGCGCGGCGAACCAGGGAGCGTGGAAGGAAAAAAAAAAAAAAAAGAACGAAAGAAAGAAAGAAAAAACAATCGGAGGAGGGAAAAGCGAAGGGAAGAAGGCAAAAAAGGTAATTTGCAAAAGGAAGGTAAGGAAAGGGAGGCAAGAGACAACAATCTTTTCTTTTTGAGTGAGAGAATAATAATCTGACTTCTTTTTGCCAGCATCCAGAACCGAGCCGAACAGAACAATCGCCGCCCCCTGGCCCTTGTAACACGGTGTTACGGGGGATCTCCCGCCCGAAATTTTTGCATCAGTTGGGACAATCGGGATTGGTCAGATTGGTTGGGAGTCCATCTTGCCCGTTACCACCGCTGGTATTTTGCAATCTCGTCCATTGCCAAATTTGCCTCGAAATGCTCCGTGCACCTTCAACTTCCCGTGCATGGCGGCCATCTTGGCCCCATTACTTACTGCGTAGTATTATCGTCCGAGACGGCACATTGAACTGCTGGCTACTGGTTCCATTGTGTGCTGTGGATGCTCACTCACAAGGGTTTGCTGAAAGTCGATCTTCAAAATCTTGTTTGTGCACGAATGCCGAGGTTGGAGCTGAGCCTATCATTCTGGCTGTGTCGGCTGAATCTAGGTTCAAGGGTGCATACAAAGATGCATGGAGATGCATGGCCTACTGGGATGAACGCGCCGCGCCTCACAGGTCTGATTTGATCTTTGATTCTCTTTCTCTGATGACCACAGCCACGAGTCCAGTGCCACTTACTGTACGGAGTACTATACGCCGAGGTGGTTGATATGGGAGAGAGAGAGAGAGAGCTCTCGCCACCTCGGGTCCGATAAGGCTGAGTAGAGCGAGAAAAGTCTGACTAATGGTCGTACGACTGGCGGTGGCTGAAGCTGTCCTTTTGGGGCTTGTTCTCCATTCTCGCCTCTGCAGGTGTTTCTTTCACCGCACACGCCCCATGCAGTCGCCGTGTGATGTGGAGGGAGATGCAAATGAGATGGGGTTGGGGGGGAGTTCACCACTGATCGAGGGAATTTTCCATGTGGCCGGCCGGCATCTGCAAGATTACAAGTTGCAAAAATACGACAGATGGTTCGTTGCGTTACCAGGGACCGAGAACCGGGGAGGGAAGTGGACTCTTCACCGCCCCACTGGGTCCAATGAACATCCACCTGCAGAACTTTGGCTTCTCAACAATCTTGGCGCCATTTTTTTTTCTTTTGTTCAGCTTCAGCAAAGAGAAAAAAACAAAGCAAAGCACCCGCCACCACTAGCTGAAAGGCCATATCTCTCTTGAGTGGCATTGCCATCAATTTGATTCGTCTTTCCATAATCCGAGCTTTTGTTTGTGAAGTTGTCACTTTGAAACAGACACCTGAATAAAGGGGGAAGGGAGGGAGGGAGGGAGGGAGGGAGAAATAATCAACCGGAGATGACTCGGTTATAGGCTTATCAAACCTGATCACTGGGCAGTCTGGCCTGGCCTCTCTGGACTGTAACCCCCCAACAAGGGAACCAACCCCATTTCACATGCCACTCGGAAAATCCAATCCGACTTTTCCCTGGATGGGTGATTTGCAATGCCTAGTAGCAGTGGTCATCTTTACCATGGCCATGATCATCATTCAGTCTCTACCAATCTCCTCTCAGCACGACTCATGCTCAGCTCAAATCACCTCAGATCTACTCAGCTTAGCCTCGGCTCTTTCTTGATCAGATAGAAGATAATCCAACGACCATGTAGATCCATCTCGCATTCTATTCAGTGCTCAGTGCTCATACTCGCACTCAAACTTTTGAGCATGAAATGCAATTGAAAGAACAAACATCGCCGACCGGACCAGCAAAAGACACACTGTAAGGATTCTGAAGAACTACGGAGTCAAGTGGTCAGTCAGCTCGACAAGTGGATCCCTTCGCGCTTCCATTCGGCTTCCACCACTGTCAGCGAGGAGCCTGATCTACAAGAATGCTGATTGGCCTCTGCCGAGGAGAAGATTGCCGCTCCTCGAGCCTGGAGCTCCCGAGTCCTCCCTGCATCTTGCCACCGTCGATGCGAACGGCTTCGTCCTCCTGTGTACAAGGGTACGGGAGGACAGTACACAACGCTTTACAGGCAGGAGTACCAAGAAGAGCAGCGCATGTGATAAGAGCCGAATGAGCCTCATCTACGGTGTTGTGCTCAACATGCTGCGAACGACGCTGACTGCCGATAATATTCCCTCCCAACAACTTCACTACTATGAGTATATGTGAACTACGCATCCCAAGATCATCAGATCAATTTAATCCAATCCAGAAACTCCTACAGAGTAACTTAAATGAAGCCGAAGTGACCTGAGTCCGGAACTCCTCTATACCGAACAAACCACTAGTCATGTGTAGCCGTGCTCGAGTAAGTTTGGGAAAAAAAAAATCCCTGCATGTCAAACTTCTGTTGGGGCACACCATCGAATTTGTTGAGATCCCCCTTCCCCTGGTGGGGCTTACTTCCGGGGAGGTGGTTGGATTGAAAGGAAAAAATGCCAAAAACAAATCAATGGGCGGCGCTTGTCATTCGATTGCGTGGTGCTGATTTGATGGGGAAAGAGGGGCGCGCGGCGGCGGCGGCGCTCTCGGGGGTGCTAAACTGTATTTTTTTAGTTTAATCATTGGCGTGGTTTTTTTTGGTTCCCGGCTTTCGAAGTGTGGTAATTCTTGAGTAAACTGAGACCTGAAATTTCTAGCTGGGTGTAATTTTCGAAATTTGAGGTTCGCCGCGCCGAGTAACTATGCATGCTGCTGCTCTTGACATATCAACGAAAATATCTACTGAGTATCTTAAGCTGAAGGCGGCGATTATGTCCTTGTGGATATTTGTAGGTATATATCTATCTATATAAGTTTGTACAGACGAATCATAAGGCCAGGAACCCCCTCCTCCTAAAAATCATCTGCAAGTTGTTGTTGAAGTCTATGTACTCGTACTCTTTGCAGATTGATGGAGTCGCTCGGAATCAACCAACCATGCTCCGCCATGGCTGCCGCCCGATAGGGAAAGGCTCACCGTCGTCGTCCGCAGATCCGGTAGCACCAACACCGTCTCCCCGTGGTTACGGTAATCTACCTCACAAGGAATGGGTCGTCGTTGTAGCTGCCCGCTCGTGGCTGGCCCGGGATCTGCTGCTGCTGCTGCTGCTGCCGCCCCTCCAGTCGAGGGTTGCAGCTTAGGGGTATTCAGTGGCGGCGGGGCTCCCGACGACGAGGGCGGTGGTGGTACAAAGCTTCTAATCTCTAGCCCGGGGAGAAGAAGGTGGCCAGCCTTCTGGGGCAGGAGCATGATCGCAAATGTCTTAGTTTCCCCCTCATCGGCGGTAAAGTTTCCGCGACGTCGACCGCCAACCAACCACGAGTCGGGGTTGGCATGAAGCTCATATGTAAAGTCGAGCGATCCATTGGCCTGTTCACGTTGTTCAGCTGAGCACCAGCGCCGAGTGTGATGGATAGTGAGTTCGGCGGCGATCATTTGCCCAACTGCGGCGTGTCGATGTTGGCCCGTCAGATTAGTGAGACGAAGCTCGGCTGTATGGACAACGGGAATTTCAGGAATATCAACCGGAATGACAATGTGTCTCTTGGGCACAGTGGGCGATGCTGGGAGGCGAATCACCGGGTGATTCTGTGTGGGTGTCAGTTTACTTGAGTGCGAGGGAAGCACGGCTAATGCGCTGGCTACTTCTCACCTTGTGCCAATCCTTGAGCCACGTTTTCAGTCCGTCCAGTGGCTCCTTCAGCGCGCCCAGTAATCCTTCCCATCGAGCATTTGCATACCCCAACGTTTCCACCTCTCGCACCAGGCCAACGATCTCCATGTCGGAGGTTGACAATTGGGTGCGGACCGCATCAACAATATGGGCCGTAAGTAACGTGCTGTATGGGTGGAATTCACTAGCCATGATGCTAGAGTGGAATGCCTTTTCCACGGCATCCATGCACTCATCATCCACGCACGTGAAATCCACACTCAGCCGGAGTGAGCGTCTGGAACCAGGGGAGGAGACGTTGTCCTGCTTCCGCCGGATTTTGTATATCAAGGAGGCGGGCTGCTTGGGAAATACATCTAGCGCCACAGAGTCACCAATGCATGATTGCACCTCGTAGTCATTCGAACTAGGGATGTTGCATCTCAAGATTCGAAGAGGGATCATCAAGGCCGGGCTGATTGTAAACCGGGAAAACAGCACGTCGTTCTTGAAAATATCCTGCACGTTGACGCTGATTGGCAAACCTGAATTGATATTGTGAATGGAAGAGTATGAAAACGACCCACTGCCCGTTTTATAGGTCACCTCTGCCCTTGCAGACAAGATTGGATGATGCTCCTCCACCGTATAAGGGATCCGGAGTCGAACAAATGATTTTGGCTTCAGTTCGTTGAACTCAATGGTGCCTGAATCGCTGTTGGCTTTGATTTGAATCTCGCCTTCGACCAACTCCGTCTCTGCGATTCTCAGTCGCAGACCAGCAGTGGCTGGCCTAACACGCAGGGTGCCTGTGTTGATATCG